AAATAAATAAATAAATAAATAAATAAATAAATAAACAAACAAACAAACAAACAAACAAACTAGCCACATAAGGCCTTAATTTACTATACAGCCCAGGCTGGCCCTGAACTTGCTGCACTCCTCCTGCCTCAGCCACCTGGGATTATAGGCTATAGGTGTGTGCCTAAATTAAGAACAAATTAAATTTCAAATTGCACTATCCATTTTAAGCATTTGAGTCACATGAGAAGAAATATGTGTATATACATTTTTAAAACAGCTGGGCACATCTGTAATTTCAGCTGTTTAGCAGCCTCAGGCAGAAAGACGACAAGTTTGAGTCCCACATGGGCAACACAGCAAAACGCTGCTTCCAAATAAAAAAATTTTTAAAGGCTGGCTATGTGGCTCAGTGTGAAAGCCATGCTAGTGACCACTATACTGTGCAGATACGCACCATTCCCATCATTGTAGACAATTCTACTGAACAGTGCTGATACAGTAAGGGAAGAAAGAGTTGTCAATTACTGATATTCTAAAAGATAAGAAAGATCTGCCCATGTCAATAAAATATTTTTTGATTTTTAGCTGCAAGGCTTTCAAAACAGAGAAATGCAGCCCCCTGATCTCCCTCCTCCAGAATGTCAATTTTAGAAAAAGTGCCAGAAGCTAAGGATCATGAAACTATTACATAAAATCATTCTGAAAACTTTATCAAAAGCTGCTTATAATATTCTATTGCAGAAACCTAACTTCCTTTTTTTTTGAGACAGTGTCTCAATATGTACTTCAGGCTGGCCAGAGCTCACTTACCTAACCCAAACTGGCCTTGAACTCAGCTATGCTCCTGCCTCAGCCTCCAGAGTGCTAGGGTTACAGGCACCACCAAAACCTAACATCTTTTACGGTTATTTTTCCCATTTTACACTTCTTGTGGCACTGGAGATGGAACTCAGGGCCTCTGGCACGCTAGGCAAGTGCTCCACCACTGAGCTACATCCCCTGCCCAACTGTTGCACTTACATTAAAAATCTTATCGAGTGACAGACCGTTTCCTTACTGTCCAAAAGTAAGCGCATTTATAATTCTATGTTCAAAATGTACTGATTATTTAACTTAAATTCTAAACAAAGTCTTATGTCTCGTTGTTAATATTTGTGAATATTCACCCCTCATATATTGAGGTATGCTCCCCAAAATACAGTACCAATTAATTACAATCAACTTTCTCTACATCTTAAGTTTTTGCACTGACCTTCAAAATCTTTTGCATGGAAAGATTTTAAAAGTCAAAAACTCCAACAAAGAAGCTTCCACAAGCTGCAATGACTAACAATTTTGAAAGTCTACAAAGATAAAAGAAAAGTAAATCTCTTACATGGATAAAAAAAATATCCCTCTGCACTGGAGTCGTGGCCTACTCGAGGTTAATGCGGGCTATATCCAGAGCTCAAGGCCAGGCTGAACTACATGAGACACTCT